AAAAAAAAAAAAAAAAAAAAAAAAAAAAAAAACAAGTGTTTTCAGTAAAAAAATCTCGACCAATTCATTTTCTGTTCCCTTGACAAACAAACAAAACACACCTCTCATAACGCGCACAGTTTCAATGAAACAATCGACAGACACCCACAATGGTTGCTTGAAATTTAATTTCACTGATTCGCCGTAACAAAAAAAAAAGTCCAGCAAATAAATTTTTGAAAAAAAAAAATGTAGAAGAATTAGCTTATAATTATGCAGTCAACAATGACAAAATTTATATCAACAAATAGTTCATTAACACTGAAAAAGAAAGCAATAAATACTTTAACAGCAACAACTGATTATTCAAAAAGCGAAAAAATTTTAAAGACCATTATCAACTTAACAAGCAAATTTTACACTGCAATTATAGACAAGTTTACTTTCACTGCAAATACCTTTCAAACCATTACACCAACAAATGAATAATTATTTTGAAACAAAAACCTTTAAATCATTTGTTTTGGTCAACAAGTATTCAGTGAGAGGAACAGCTTTTGAAGCAGTAATTTAACATGCGTAGCTGTAACAGCATAAATTAAGCGATTAAGACGACTAACGAATGTACGAGATTTGTAATCACAAGTGAAACCATAATATGCAGGTTATAACCAAAAAAACAAAGCGATGAGTACCAAATAATAGCACCAAAACTCAAGTGTAATTTATGAAAGCCACAGTTTACAAAACCTACTCAAACAGATTTGCAGAAGTTCTGCCAAAAAAAACGTCTTTCAAAAATCTGCATGCCAGAACAGTCTTTCCAAACTGTATTCTACAGATGGTTTAAGAAACAACCAAAATGCAAGGAAACTGACCTTCCGTTTTAGTCCACAAATGGCTTCGTATAAGTTAGTTCCGTAATTCAAAGGTTACTGTTATAGTATACGGAAAAAAAACTACAAACTTTTAATTTCTTTTAAGCAATTTCAAGAACTATATTACCACACCAGTTGAAAAAATATTTCTCTATCAAAAAATTCAAAAAAATTTTCAGAAAATCAAAATTTTATCACCATTTATCAAGAATTTTGAAGAATTATTAAGATAAACTTATTTGTCACTGATAAATGCCAATTATTCAAGAAGGCTGCTGATATTTTATATAGAGTAACTAACAGCAGTCTGGGTGTATAGCAAACCAAAGCCCAAAAGAGAAGCATTTCTGCATTTCATACAGATAACTTAAATTACCAGAAATCACTACCAAATAGTAACTTATTCACCTCTTCTTTTGGAAAAAATAAAATAAATTACTGCAAAAAACTTTAAAATTGTAACAAAAAACTTTAGCGCCTCTTGGCAGCCAACAGTTTGTGAGATTAGAGTCTTAAAAGCCAAAGTAAACCTTTAGCAATTACAGAAAATTAAAGGCATAGCAAAAACGAACAATATAGACAAAAAAACCTGGAATACAATAAACTGAAAATTAACGGTTTACAAAAATAATATTCAAAAAAAATCTTCTTAAAGCATTAGAGCTAAAACCGGTGGCATTCAGAAATAAACTCAATAGACATTTACGCTTTTTAGTGAAAATGATTCAAAACTAAAAATTTTGGTGCTCTGGTTCTAAGAAATAACTATGGAACCTAGAAAAACCAAATTGGGATAGTTAGGAAACGAAAAAATGCTACAAGACGATGCTGCTTATAGACTTAAATAACCGAGTTCATCTTTCAAATGTTAATCACTACATATTAAGAGAAGTAGTAAATCAAAGAAAAAAAAAAAGATCTTGCCTCCAATCATTAACGCACTCGGTGACTCTGCCAATGAAGTCTAGAAAGTAATCCTGGCAGGAAATTTTTAAAACCCGGGAATGGGACCCTTACTGAAAGCGCCGAGAAGTGAAGTCCCATATTTGCTAAGAAATACGATAGAGCTCAATTCACTCATGACTCGTTCAATGTCTTCAATGGTGGTTTGCCGTCCAAAACTGAATCTCACAGTTTTTGAAGCTAACTGGTCATCAATACCACATGCAGTAAGAGTTTTAGACGGGCTTAAAAAAGTATAAGTTAGTGTTTTAAAAAAACCAAAGAAAAAATTAAATAAAACAATTAAGTCAGTATGCAAGTATGTCCTTTACAACAAATCCAGAAATACAGCTGTGTCCTCTACCTCTGACTTGACGAGTGACAAGCTGCTCCAGTACTGGCAATAAATGAGCTACATTTTGAGAGCAGTTGACCAGCGTTACCTTCATACTTCACAAATGCAACACTACTTGTATTCGGAATTCGCTCTGAATCAGCAAAATGAATAACAGCTCCTTCTTTGAACACGTCCTAAAAGCAATTCTGCCAAAAGAAAACCAAGAAAAAGACCAGAAAAATGCATTCAAAAATTTAAAAAAAACACAGTCTTGAGGCATAGAACCCACCTTAATTTTCTGTTCAAAATGATTCCGAATTTTTTTAAAATGATCTATGTATGCAGAGAGATTTTTGGCGGTAATTCTAGCGGCTTCTCCCAAACCGATAATCATTGGTGTATTCTCCGTCCTGAAAAACGATGAAAGCATAATGATAGCACAAGCAAATAACACCAAAAATACACCAGTGCGACGACACAAAACTGGGAGTCTACAAACTGGGTTTCTTCAGTATGCCTGAAGGAGCTTCCTTTAAAAAATTAGCAGAAATCAGTTTTACAGCAATTAGTAAAGGTTGAAAATTAAGTAGCTAAAAGCCTTTTTAAAGTTCAAGAATTAGCCAAACGTGAGCACAAAATGTCTACTTCTTATTCAATTTCTAAAACCTTTTTGCTTGACTAATACAGAAATGTTTACATAATGATATTTAGAGATGACTAAAAAACAATGCGTGCTTATATGTTTTTAAATCCAAAATAATCAATTATACATCGGCTAAGTTTTTTATTGATCCTGCAGATCCATTAGCTCATATAATCGTGTATCAGTACTTTTCTATGCTGATAAGACATACTCTCAAGGGGACACTGAATGTTTCCAAACTTTCACTTGGGCGAAAAAAAATAATTAAAATCAAACTGAGAGTTTTGAAGAATAACAGATTCACGATTAACCCTTACCCAGAACGCTTATCCGACTCTTGTCCACCGCCAAAAAATATAGGAGTCAAAGGAACTATTTGAGCGGAGCGAAGCACCAGTGCACCAATACGAGGTCCATAAAATTTATGACCAACAACAGTAAGGAAATCGACTTTAAGCTCATTCAAGTTCACATCCATTTTACCTACGGCTTGGGCCCCATCTGTATGCAGTAGTATACGAATATCATACTGGTATTCCGCCTTTCTAAAACATATAAAATTAAAAAAATTCTATCTTTTTAGAAGAATAAATTAAACAAACTCATTTACCTTGCAATTGCAGCAATGTCAGAAAGCGGCTGAATCACACCAGTTTCATTGTTGCATAACATTACTGTTATTAAACAGGTGTGCTCACGTATAGCGGCTTGCAACTCATCAAGCTTAACATATCCTGTTGCTGGATCAATGCTGATCTCATTCAAGTCTAAATGTAACAAAAAATTTTCTCATCCCTGAAAAATCTGAGAAAGAAAAAATAAAGTTGTCTACCTATTACTTCCTTTTTTTGCAAATTTCTCAGAAGTTCCAGAAGCGAAGGGTGCTCTATGGAGGAAGAAATCAAGTGAGGTTTGCCCTCCCTACCATGCTGGGCTTTATAGTGTTCAATCGCATTGTAAACTACCCAGTGATTAGTCTGAAAAATTTATCTTGAAAAAAGAACTTGTTGCTTTAGTTAACCCCAAAGGCATTACCTCTGTCCCACCAGATGTAAAAAAAATTTCACGAGGCGTTACGTGAAAAAGTTCAGCAAGTCTAGCACGTGCATTTTCCACAACTTCTCTTGCTTTTTTACCTAAAAACTTTAAGAAGTTAAAAACGATATGTCAATTATGTTAAATGAGCAGTCCCTATCAAAAGACATTTTAGAAAAATGGTACAAAAAAGCACTACATTAATTAGCTTAGCTCCAAGTATTCTGTAAAACGTCGGTACTTTCAAAGTTCGAAAACTGAAAACCAAATATTACAATCTCAAAAAGCTTAAAACTTCTATTGACGAAAAAAATACACCTTATACGTCAACGGTTTTCAATTTTTTTTGCTCATACTGCACTATTCTCCTTAAAATTACTGGGTTGACAACGAGTCCAATGATGTCTTATATGATAAGCTCAAAAAGCTCCAGAACTTCTAGTTAGTCTTCTGCAATGAGCCTTTAAAACTGGAGGTAAAAAAAAGAAAACCAAAAAATTCTGTATCTGCTGATCACACAAACCACTACTTTTATTACAAAAGTAGAAATTTACAAACACAAAATTACAAGTATCGACAACACTGTTTAATGAAGCAAAAAAGCGCAGGAAAATAACTTACCAAGAACATCTGAGCTACTGGGATTTGCCCAGTACTTTAAACCGTCTTTGATTGCTTCGATTACTTCAGGAGCCAAAGGTGTGGTCCCATTGTAATCCAAATAAACTTTTTCCTGTTCCTCAATATACCACATTCCCAGCAACTGAAAATATGAATGTAATGACGAATTTTGTGCAAAGCAGTATTAGTGTGTTACCATGTAATGACAAAACACGCAGTGCATTACCGATTGTCAACGAATATGAGAAGCCCCGCAGCGAATTTTTAGGCATCGATGAAATATTAAAGTGAAAAGAAAAAAAAAAAAGAACAAAGAGTTCAAACACAGCAGATACAGATCGAATTAATCGCTGAATTGTTATATTACGTAACAAACAAATTTCTGCTATGGGCCTTTGGAACTGGGGCTGGAAAAAAGGAAACAAAAAAAAATTGTATTTGCTTATCACGGAAACCACTACACTTTGTGTCGCTTTGTATAAAAGGTTAAGAAAATGCGTATGCCGCTGCAGTCTCTATGTATGAAATGGAATAATGGCATCGGTAAGCGTTATAAGACGACAGGTGAAACTAAGTTTTACTGCAGTGAAACGCTGTCACCATCATTTACACATTTAGGTAATCATTCAAGAACCCTATCATATGGATATTTTGTGAAAGATTCCTTTTTTCAAAAAGTATTCCTTCAAAGACAGTAATAAAATCGGTTTAATTAATAAACAAAATAAGTAACAAAAAAATTTAGCTACGCTAAAATTGTTGCCTTTTAGCAGTCACCAAATCTGCATCTATTCACTTGCGTATTACACCCGCAAATTTCATGATTCAAACGCCCATTTTCACTTTGTCCCTCCCTGCATCGTGAGATATTTTTAAAAACTGCTTTTTTTCTACCATATTTCTCTAGCTTCTTTCCTAAAAGCAGCTAAACAAACATAATTCTGTTTCTGATATAACATACAAGACCTTCAAAAGCTTGTTTAATAGTTTGGGCATGTCAAAAAAGGCCTCTTTTGCGCCCACTGCAAACGATGCAGTCGAAATACGACTAATCAGTTGATCGGGCAATATGCTTGTTTTACCACATTCTGAAACTAGCAAACCACCGAGACAAAAATATTTTATCTTTTTAAACAATGAAGGGTACTAAATTTACTAAACTGTTTAAAAGTAATCAAATTCTTATTGCCAGCTTAAAACGGGTAGTAGAAAGCAATAAATAAACAAATTTTCTAGTTGGCAACAATAAAAGATTCTCTCAGTCACTACTGACACATTTTTAGTAAGACCACCGTTCCGGCTGACATTTTCTGCTCGAAGACCCAAGACAGGGAAAGAATTTTGGGTTAGCAGAAGTCCCTGCATGCTGGAGGAGGTGTCAAGAATGCTACAAGGAGGAGAGGATGAAACAAGAAAACTAATATTTCATACGGATATCTAGAAAATATATTTGTTATCTTGTCTGCTTTATGAATTTGTTATAGGCTTCGTAAGCATTGGAAAC